ACGAGCAAAATCATGCCAATTATTGACTTACTATACCATTCTCCTTTGAGACGCCTCAATTCTCGATCATGTAGCGGCTCGTTTGTGTGTGTACTGATACTGCCCGGCTTTCCTCTTTCCATCCCAACCACTGCCAAGCAGATCTATGGCAGAGAGGACTTTCGCTCTTCTACCTCAACAGGTCCGTCCTAATATAGAATACTTGTGACTGGCGTGTGCTGGCATGGGCCTACATACAATGGTTCATGCCATGCCGTCCACTGCCAAGCAGACCTATGGCAGAAAGGACTTTCGCTTTTCTACCTCAATAGGTTTGTCTCGGTTGCCTGTGTATGGCTGGTGTGTGCTGTGCTGTCTGCACTGAATGTCACCTTTTGCTCGTTTATCCATTTGTCATGACACTGGATTTCCGACGGGACAAATTTCCCCTTTCCACGGTTTTCTCAAGAGACTAAGTTGTATGCCTTCTCAACGTTCCCATTTTCTCCTGCCTTGGTGTGTCAGATTTGCAGAAGCTTCGCAGCAGTTTCGTGCCTGCATTGCAGCAAACTCAAGAGACGCTGAAGAGGTGAGAAGAACAGCTTCAGTAAATCTCCTCAGGTTCAGAAGCACCTATTGTTCCAGGCAACTGTACCCATGCACATCCTCATGCCCAAGACCGTACCCATGCACATGCCAATGCCCATGCCCTTTCCCTCACTTCTACCTTCGCATTCTCTCACTTCCCTTCTTGCCAGTCCTTGGTGCTTTGTTTTTCAAGATGTCTGGTGCCTTGTATTTTGAATTGTCTGGCGTTTTGTATATCGAGTGGCTAATGCTTTTTGTCAAACCTGTTCTCTTCTGTTGCCCTTCCCACCAGTCCATCTGGTGCTTTGTCTCCGAGTCCAAGACAAATGGTGTGGATTCAGCCCGAGAAAGCATGCCAGAGGTGGGCATCTCACTTGATAGTAAATCTGTTTCTTCCAGGCGCCTCAGAAGTCGCAAAAGTGCCTCAAAAGTTAATGAAGTGCACATAATCGCTAGAGGTGGCTTTTCCCCTCGTCTTGCTCTACTTGTGGCTTCTCAACTGCTTATATTCAGCCACTTCATTTAACTGGGCAAAATTATTCCCCCTGTCCTGTCTTCACACGCCTATGTTCTGGGACGTGTACGGATTCGAGACGTCTCAAATCTCGTCTTGCTTTACTTGGGTGTTCTCAAATGCCTATCACATCATGTCGTCACACATTCCTGCTCCCCGCGCTCAGGTCCCTCGAGACCCAGGAAAGGTGCTACGAGCAGCGTATGACATGTTCAAAACGGGAGCTGACCCCTTGCAGGTAATCTCGTGCAGTGCAGCTATTCCCTTGAGGCTGATCTCTCTGGTCCCTCCCTCTCGCACCCCTCCCACCTCCCCACCTCCCCACTTCCCACTCATGTCTCACCTCACGCTTGCTTCTTCCTCCATTCTTCCGCACTCTAAGTGGTAGACGCTTACATGCCACGTTACAGTGTTCTCAATCCAGCGTTCACACACATATGGGGCGTGGCATGGCAAATGGAGTGCCATGGCGCGGTACTGGACATGACATGATGCGGATGGCATGGCATGGCATGGTATGGAACCAAATGGAACTGATGGCATGGCATGGCATGGTATGGAACCAATGGAACTGATGGCATGGCATGGCATGGTATGGAACCAAATGGAACTGATGGCATGGCATGGCATGGTATGGAACCAAATGGAACTGATGGCATGGCATGGCATGGTATGGAACCAAATGGAACTGATGGCATGGCATGGCATGGTATGGAACCAAATGGAACTGATGGCCTGGCATGGCATGGTATGGAACCAAATGGAACTGATGGCATGGCATGGCATGGCATGGCATGGCATGGTATGGAACCAAATGGAACTGATGGCATGGCATGGCATGGTATGGAACCAAATGGAACTGATGGCCTGGCATGGCATGGTATGGAACCAAATGGAACTGATGGCATGGCATGGCATGGTATGGAACCAAATGGAACTGATGGCATGGCATGTGAGGACACAGGTGTTGGCAGCAGCAGGGGATGACGAGGGGGGGTCATCAGCCTTCTATGCTCGGTTATACGTCGGCCTCTTCTTTGAAATCATGGTACTGTTTTTTTAGGCGCCTCAAAGGTAGCCTTCTATGCTCGGTTATGTGCCGGTCTCTTCTTGAAATCATGGTACTGTTCATGTCATAAGGATGTTTCGAGTCTAACAATTATTGTAGGTCTAACAGTCATGACAGCTTGTATACTTAGTGTGTATGTGCCCATGTGTGCATGTGCCCATGTGTGCATGTACCCATGTGTGCATGTGCTTATGTGTGCATGGGCTTATGTGTGCATGTGCTTATGTGTGGATGTGCCCGCATATCCATGGGCTCATGCCCAGCATGTATTTGGCCTCTCCCTCACTCTACGACCCTCTCCCCCACACACACCCACTCACTCACTCTCGTACTCACTCTCAACTCTCTCCTTCTCCCACTGGCCTTTCAGGGGGATGAGGCCACAAGTCGGAAGTACATCCAATCAGCAGCTGCCACGGAATACGCCTGCAGGTAACCCATTTACCTTGGTTGCGAAACTCCACTCACCTGCCTTGCACTGCCGGTTGCGAAACCCCACTCACCCCATTCCACACAAACTGCCTGATGGCATGGCAGCAGTGGCATTGTCCTGTCAACTCATCAACCCAAAACTCACCTTGTTGCAATGGCGCATGACATGATGATACCGTTCCACTCCTTCCCTCAACAGTTCCCAAGCTGATCGTCTAACTACATGGCAGCAGTGGTGCCAGCGCATTGTTTGAGACGCCAGTCGCAAATCCTGCTTTTTCTTTTCCCTTGCTTGCACTGCTCTAGCGCCTTCGTGTAGATAGGTTGTTTTTGAGACGTCTCAAAAATTACCTGTCTACACGTGGCTTCCCTTGCTTGCACTGCTCTAGTGCCTTCGTTCCACCTTCGTCTGTTTCCCCCTCCTCCTCCTCGTTCAACCCATCCACGAGAGTCGCTTTTGAGAATTCTCAAAAGAGATTCAACCTGTCCAACACGGGTTGTCCGACTACATGGCAGCAGTGACGCGAGTGCATTGGTCTACCCTTCCTCCCTCTTTCACCTCTCCTCGTCCTTCTCTTCCCTCACCCTGTTCCATCACAGATCGTCAGGCTACATGGCAGCAGTGGCACGAGTGCATTGCTTGAGACGCCAGTGGGAAACTCTGCTTACCCTTCCAGCCTCCTTCCCCTTTCCCTGTCCTCTTCATTCACCCTGTTCCATCACAGATCGTCAGGCTACATGGCAGCAGTGGCACGAGTGCATTGCTTGAGACGCCAGTGGGAAACTCTGCTTACCCTTCCAGCCTCCTTCCCCTTTCCCTGTCCTCTTCATTCACCCTGTTCCATCGCAGATCGTCAGGCTACATGGCAGCAGTGGCACGAGTGCATTGCTTGAGACGCCAGAGGTGGCAAACCCACCTCACCCTTGCACTGCTCGAGTGCCTTCTTCCCTCCTTCCCCTCTCTCTGTCCTCTTCATTCACCCTGTTCCTTGCAGATCATCAGACTACATGGCAGCAGTGGCACGAGTGCATTGCTTGAGACGCCAGTGGCCACTCCCTCCCTCCACTTTCGACGATTAATCTCTTCCGAGTCCCATCGGAGCTGCCTGCTCGACCTGCGAGTAGACTCATGCACCCGCTACCCTCTACCTCTACTCCGGTCGATCAGTGATTGTCGACTCTAAACATCTGTTTTACATGACTAAATGCGTCCGAGCCGAGCCCGACTCTCAAGCCGTGTTTTTTCCACTCTAGGAAGCATCAAGCTTCCAAGAATCTGGGAAAGATGGCATATCAAGCGACGCACCAGACGAAGTTGAAACATCTATGACTGCATTGCATTACTGGTTCATCTGTATGCACACATGATTGCGACAGTCAACAACAGGCCCTTGTACAATCTCACGAAACGCTTAAGAGAAGCAAAACGTCTAACGAGGCGTTTTGTCAGTACTCACTCATTGAACAAAACCGCGTCAAGCCAAGCTGTGCTCCTGCGCTAACTACTTTTGTTGGCTGGTCCAGCTCATTACTTTGGTAGTCTACAACCTGTAATGACTCACGAGCCTTATAGTGAGCCTCTCACTACAGTAAGTCAGTGAGCCTTATGAAGAATCTATCCAAAATAGTCAGGCTCATTCCCGGGCGCCCACTTTATGTTGCAGCCGATGCTGCACAAAGGCGATAAAGGGTAGTCAGGGAAACAAAAGATGGTATTGCAGGACAATCAAGCAGGGATTTTGCAATCGAGTCAGCCAAAGAAGGGTAACCACGTCAGTAAAAAAGAACAACCACATGGGAATTTAGATTAGACCCCCATCTAGTAAATAATGCCTTACCTGGGCTTCTAAGCGCTGGGGACAGGTCACGGAGAGAGCACATTCAAGAGCACTGCAAAGGTCCTTGCCTGTGTTTTGAGGCGCCTCAGAATAATCAAGTTTTGAGACGCTCAGAATAATCAAGTTTTGAGACGTTTCGAAACTGTGACCAATGGGACGACTCCGACCTGTAGGCAAGCAGTGAAACCCACCTGGGCCTCTGAGCGCTGGGGACCGGCCTTCCAGAAAGCACGCCCAACCCAGAGCCTTGCAGAGATCCTAGCCGGTAACCGGGTAACCATTGGGGTTCTAGACCCTAGTCCGTATTGCCATCGAGAAGCTCACCTCTGCTTTTGATCGCTGGGGACTGGCCTGCCTGAGACTGGGTAAAGGCAACCTTACCTGGGCTTCTGAGCGCTGGGAACGGTCGAGCGGACAGCACGCAGCCTAGGGCAGCACGCAAGTCCTTCCCGGTGACCAGGCGGCCGTTGGAGGGGCGGGATTCGTCCAGCTGGCAGTGGTATGCCAGCTCAGATGGGGGTCCTTGCTGGTGAGCAGAGAACGACCCCAAAGTCAAGGCTTTGAGTGGGTAAAGGCAAGCTCACCTGGGCCTTTGAGCACTGGAAACGGGTCTTGCCGACAGCACACAGTCTAGAGCAGCACGCAGGTCCTTGGTGGTGAGCAGAGAACGATCCCAAACGTAAAGGTGGGTAAAGGCAAGCTCACCTGTGCCTTTGAGCACTGGGGACCGGTCGTGCAGAGAGCACACAATCCAGAGCAGCACGCAGGTCCTTGCCGGTGACTGGGCAGCCATTGTTGGGACGGAAGTCGTCCAGCTGGGCATGGTATGAGAGCTCGAAGGAACATTTGCAAGCTCACCTGGGCCTTTGAGCACTGGGGACCGGTCGTGCGGAGAGCACACAATCCAGAGCAGCACGCAAGTCTTTCCCGGTGACTGGGCGGCCGTTGCTGGGGCGGGAGTCGTCCAGCTGGCCGTGGTACGCGAGCTCAAAGGGGCGGCGGCCGTCCTTCTTGAAGAGAAAGAAGTCCGGCGTGCATGCAGCATGGTAGGCCTTGGCCACCTCTTGCGTCTGATAGATGGGAGGGGGAGGGGAGAAGAGGGGAAAGGGGGTGGGGTGATTGGGAAGCGGAAGAAAAGGAAAACGTGTCCCGCTGGCCGTGGTATGCGAGCTCAAAGGGGCGGCGGCCGTCCTTCTTGAAGAGAAAGAAGTCCGGCGTGCATGCAGCGTGATACGGCTTGGCCACCTCTGCACGCCCGACTATGAAGAGAAAGAATTCTGCACACTCAACAATTTGCGAAACGAATTGAGGGACATTCCTCGTCATAGAGATACGGGGAGGGGGCCAAAGTGCCTGAATCGTGGAGGATTGCAAATGTGGGGATATTACACAATGGAAAATGAAAGCAGTTTGTTGTGTGTTGGTGCATGCAATCGGTACACGGTGTTGATGAGTGTCTTGACTCCTGACGTAACACGCAGGGGGTGAAATAAAAAATACAGAACAACCACTAATATGCCTACGTAGCACAATGAGAATTCAAATCTCCACAATGAAAGCAGTGAATTTGATTTCTCATTGTGCTGCGTATGCATGTTAGTGCTTGTTCACTATTTTGTATTTCACCTCCTCCAAGGTATGTCAAAAGTTGATTTTTGGAAGGTTGATTTTCTTTTTTCTTGTCTCGAAATCAATCTCAAAGAAAATCAAGGCATAGAGCTTTCACATGGAGAAATGCAGTACCATTTTGAAGACCCTCGATGGGAATTCGAGAGACGCACCTCATCATAGAGGTAAGGGAAGGGGAAGCTGAACTGCTTGGCTTCCTCTGCCATTTTATCTGGTCCGTCCTGTTGTTGAGTAGAATGCAGAGAGGGGAGATTGGGGAGTACGAGAGAGGAAGTTGAGAGACAAAAAAAAAAGACCTGATTCACGGTAATACGAGGAGCGGGCAAATGAGCGTGGATGGAGTACGATGCACAATAGTTTTCTTCATCCACGATAATTATACACTAACTATACTACCGTTCACTATAGCTCACAGACACTATACTGCACAACGCAACATACCTGAGGGTGGGTGAGGACGGAGTTGGACGAGATGGCAACCACTGCCAGCCCATGCTGCATGGAAGAAGAATGGGGAGCAGGGACAGCAAGAGAGGGGCAAGGAATTAGTGGAGATGACGTTTGAGCTGACTAACAAGTGCCTCAACAGTGGACCGAGTTGGACGAGATGGCAACCACTGCCAGCCCATGCTGCATGGAAGAAGAATGGGGAGCAGGGACAGCAAGAGAGGGGCAAGGAATTAGTGGAGATGACGTTTGAGCTGACTAACAAGTGCCTCAACAGTGGACCGAGTTGGACGAGATGGCAACCACTGCCAGCCCATGCTGCATGGAATAAGAATGGGGAGCAGGGGGGGGAGCAGGGAGCGGGGAGCAAGCAAGGGGAGGAGCGGCCGAGTGGAGGTGAGGTGAGGACGGAGTCGGACGAGATGGCAACCACTGCCAGCCCATGCTGCAGTGAAGAAGAATGGGGAGCAGGGACAGCAAGACGGGGGCAAGGAGTAAGCAGCGATGCTGTTAGAGCCGAACTGTGGTCCACTCAAAAGTGCCTCCACAGTGGACCGAGTTGAACGAGATTGCAACCACTGAATGAAGTGAGGAAGAATGGGGAGTGGGGAGAGGAGAGGGGGGAAAGGACGGATTGGGGAAAAGCGAGTGGTTGAGATGGGTGATTGAGGGGGCACCTCGTGTTGTGATTGAGAGTGGGTGGGTGGATGGATGGGTGGGTGGGTGGGAGGATGGATGGGTGGGTGGGTGGGTGCGTGTGTGGTGGGTGCGTGATTGGGTGCGTGAGTGGCTGGTTGGGTGGGTGGGTGTTGGGTGGGCCATGACATGAGGATGGATGGGGTGTTGGTGGCTGGATAGGCCAAGCTGGCAACTCCTGCCAGCCAGCGTGTGATGAGACGAGTTTTGGGTCGACTCAAAACTCGTCTCATCACACGTGGGTGGGTGTTGGGTGGGCCATGACATGAGGACGGATGGGGGTGGGTGTTGGCTGGACAGGCAAAGCTGGCTATCCCTGCCAGCCATGCTGCAGACACGAAGGGGGAGGACGACTGGAATTTCGAAAAGTTACTCGTAGATGTAGCTTAAGAATGTACTGCCTAAAAAATGTAACTTAGACATGTACACTGGAGATGTTGTTGGAAATGCACTTGGAAATGTAACTTGGAGATGGACACGTTACTTCGAAGTGCAACTTCAAGTGTACCTTGGAGATGTACTCGTTGCCAAGAGCAACGAGTTGCGACTTGATGTGAACCACGAATGGGCAGTGATTGCAAATGAACATGACCTGTCATTGAAGGGAGGGAAGCGGAGGGGAGAGAGGGGGTGGAGAGGAGGGGGTGGAGAGGAAGGGGTGGAGAGGAGGGGGTGGAGAGGAAGGGGTGGAGAGGAAGAGGTGGAGAGGAGGGGGTGGAGAGGAGGGGGTGGAGAGGAGGGGGTGGAGAGGAAGGGGTGGAGAGGAAGGGGTGGAGAGGAGGGGGTGGAGAGGAAGGGGAGGAGAGGAAGGGGTGGAGAGGAAGGGGTGGAGAGGAAGGGGTGGAGAGGAAGGGGAGGAGAGGAAGGGGTGGAGAGGAAGGGGTGGAGAGGAAGGGGTGGAGAGGAAGGGGAGGAGAGGAAGGGGTGGAGAGGAAGGGGAGGAGAGGAAGGGGGAGGAGAGGAAGGGGAGGAGAGGGAAGGGGAGGAGAGGAAGGGGAGGAGAGGAAGGGGAGGAGAGGAAAGGGGTGGAGAGGGAAGGGGTGGAGAGGAAGGGGTGGAGAGGAAGGGGTGGAGAGGAAGGGGTGGAGAGGAAGGGGAGGAGAGGAAGGGGAGGAGAGGAAGGGGAGAGAGGAAGGGGAGGAGAGGAAGGGGAGGAGAGGAAGGGGAGGAGAGGAAGGGGTGGAGAGGAAGGGGTGGAGAGGAAGGGGTGGAGAGGAAGGGGTGGAGAGGAAGGGGAGGAGAGGAAGGGGAGGAGAGGAAGGGGTGGAGAGGAAGGGGAGGAGAGGAAGGGGTGAGAGGAGGGGAGAGGAAGGGGAGGAGAAGGAAGGGGGAGGAGAGGAAGGGGAGGAGAGGAGGGGGAGGAAGGGAGGAGGAGAGAGGAAGGGGAGGAGAGGAAGGGGAGGAGAGGAAGGGGTGGAGAGGAAGGGGAGGAGAGGAAGGGGTGGAGAGGAAGGGGAGGAGAGGAAGGGGAGGAGAGGAAGGGGTGGAGAGGAAGGGGAGGAGAGGAAGGGGTGGAGAGGAAGGGGAGGAGAGGAAGGGGAGGAGAGGAAGGGGAGGAGAGGAAGGGGTGGAGAGGAAGGGGTGGAGAGGAAGGGGTGGAGAGGAAGGGGTGGAGAGGAAGGGGTGGAGAGGAAGGGGAGGAGAGGAAGGGGTGGAGAGGAAGGGAGGAGAGGAAGGGGAGGAGAGGAAGGGGAGGAGAGGAAGGGGAGGAAGAGGAAGGGGTGGAGAGGAAGGGGTGGAGAGGAAGGGGTGGAGAGGAAGGGGAGGAGAGGAAGGGGAGGAGAGGAGGGGAGGAGAGGAAGGGGTGGAGAGGAAGGGGAGGAGAGGAAGGGGTGGAGAGGAAGGGGAGGAGAGGAAGGGGTGAGAGGAAGGGGAGGGGTGGGAGAGGAAGGGGAGGAGAGGAAAGGGGTGAGGAAGGAGGAAGGGGTGGAGAGAAGGGTGGAGAGGAAGGGGAGGAGAGGAAGGGGTAGGAGAGGAAGGGGAGGAGAGGAAGGGGTGGAGAGGAAGGGGTGGAGAGGAAGGGGGAGGAGAGGAAGGGGTGGAGAGGAAGGGGTGGAGAGGAAGGGGTGGGAGAGGAGGAAGGGGCGGAGAGGAAGGGGAGGAGAGGGAAGAAGGGGAGGAGAGGAGGGGAGGAGAAGGGAAGGGGTGGAGAGGAAGGGGTGGAGGAGGAAGGGGTGGAGAGGAAGGGGTGGAGAGGAAGGGGTGGAGAGGAAGGGGGAGGGAAGAGGAAGGGGAGGAGAGGAAGGGGTGGAGAGGAAGGGGAGGAGAGGAAGGGGTGGAGAGGAAGGGGTGGAGAGGAAGGGGTGGAGAGGAAGGGGTGGAGAGGAAGGGGTGGAGAGGAAGGGGTGGAGAGGAAGGGGTGGAGAGGAAGGGGTGGAGAGGAAGGGGTGGAGAGGAAGGGGGTGGAGAGGAAGGGGTGGAGAGGAAGGGGTGGAGAGGAAGGGGTGGAGAGGAAGGGGTGGAGAGGAAGGGGAGGAGAGGAAGGGGAGGAGAGGAAGGGAGGAGAGGAAGGTGGAGAGGAAGGGGAGGAGAGAAGGGGTGGAGAGGAAGGGGAGGAGAGGAAGGGGAGGAGAGGAAGGGGAGGAGAGGAAGGGGAGGAGAGGAAGGGGTGGAGAGGAAGGGGTGGAGAGGAAGGGGTGGAGAGGAAGGGGAGGAGAGGAAGGGGTGGAGAGGAAGGGGTGGAGAGGAAGGGGAGGAGAGGAAGGGGTGGAGAGGAAGGGGTGGAGAGGAAGGGGAGGAGAGGAAGGGGAGGAGGGAAGAAGGGGAGGAGAGGAAGGGGTGAGAGAGGGTGGGAGAGGAAGGGGTGGAGAGGAAGGGGTGGAGAGGAAGGGGTGGAGAGGAAGGGTGGAGAGGAAGGGGTGAGAGGAAGGGGTGAGGAGAAGGGTGGAGAGGAAGGGGAGGAGAGGAAGGGGTGGAGAGGAAGGGGTGGAGAGGAAGGGTGGAGAGGAAGGGGTGGAGAGGAAGGGGTGGAGAGGAAGGGGAGGAGAGGAAGGGGAGAGAGGAGGGGTGGAGAGGAAGGGGAGGAGAGGAAGGGGTGGAGAGGAAGGGGTGGAGAGGAAGGGTGGAGAGGAAGGGGAGGAGAGGAAGGGGAGGAGAGGAAGGGGAGGAGAGGAAGGGGAGGAGAGGAAGGGGTGGAGAGAAGGGGAGGAGAGGAAGGGGGGGAGAAGGGAAGGGGGAGAGGAAGGGGAGGAGAGGAAGGGGGGAGAGGAAGGGGTGGAGAGGAAGGGGAGGAGAGGAAGGGGTGGAGAGGAAGGGGTGGAGAGGAAGGGGAGGAGAGGAAGGGGAGGAGAGGAAGGGGAGGAGAGGAAGGGGTGGAGAGGAAGGGGTGGAGGGAAGGGTGGAGAGGAAGGGGTGGAGAGGAAGGGGTGGAGAGGAAGGGGTGGAGAGGAAGGGGTGGAGAGGAAGGGGTGGAGAGGAAGGGGTGGAGAGGAAGGGGATGAAGAAGGGTGGAGAGGAAGGGGAGGAGAGGAAGGGGTGGAGAGGAAGGGGTGGAGAGGAAGGGGGGAGAGGAAGGGGAGGAGAGGAAGGGGTGGAGAGGAAGGGGAGGGAGAGGAAGGGGCGAGGAGAGGAAGGGGAGGAGAGGAAGGGGAGGAGAGGAAGGGGTGGAGAGGAAGGGTGGAGAGGAAGGGGGGAGAGGAAGGGAGGAGAGGAAGGGGAGGAGAGGAAGGGGGAGAGGAAGGGGAGGAGGAGAGGAAGGGGAGGAGAGGAAGGGGTGGAGAGGAAGGGGAGGAGAGGAAGGGGTGGAGAGGAAGGGGAGGAGAGGAAGGGGAGGAGAGGAAGGGTGGAGAGGAATGGGAGGAGAGGAAGGGTGGAGAGGAAGGGGAGGAGAGGAAGGGTGAGAAGGGAGAGAAGGGGGAGAGGAAGGGGTGGAGAGGAAGGGTCGGAGAGGAAGGGATGGAGAGGAAGGGGAGAGGAGAGGAAGGGGAGGAGAGGAAGGGGTGGAGAGGAAGGGAGGAGAGGAAGGGGTGGAGAGGAAGGGGTGGAGAGGAAGGGGTGGAGAGGAAGGGGTGGAGAGGAAGGGGTGGAGAGGAAGGGGAGGAGAGGAAAGACAGGAAGGGGGGGA